ACTACCTGGTCTAATCAATAATGTAACAGAGGGATGAGACAACTGATATCTCAGTGTGTTTTAGCTATCAGACATTCAAAGTGATCAATGATAAACAAGAAGTAGGGTACTGTGATATCACCAATTACTCTGAAAAATCCAGTGCAGAAATTAGAAACTGTGTGGTGAAAGGAAGATACCAGTTTCCTGTGGACAGACCTTAAATTCGTGCTTTCTTCTGGCTTCTTCAATAAACTGTAAATTTATAAATTTAAATGAGTCTGAAAACAAGTGGTCTGGGTGTAGTTTTCACTATTATTCACGTCTTTATGCGTCTTAGGTGGGAATCAATTTGTATAACAGATTTCTACATCATAGATATCTTATCAGGCTAGGCTGATAAATGGAGAGAAAAAAAACCTCAAACACATTTAGGGGGCACCTCATCTGCTTTAGACTTTAGGATGAGATGAATGATACACAGAAAGTGTTTATTTTTCTCCAGCAATTACAAAAGGGAGTGAGTTCAGATGTAGACACCTTTGTTGTAGACATCGCATTTGGTTGGCTGAATTAGACTCTGTCTGTGTTTTATAAAAGGAAGGGAAAGACAACAGCAAAATCCTCCTCTTTTGTTTCACTGATGAGCACACATGAGGCACTATGTCACTAAGGAATTAGTCCTTTAGTAAAAGCAAAACATTAGCTTTCCATGTAAATCAAGCTTCAGTAAAAAGAGTGGATTATTGCTGAATATACTGAATAATGATCAGGAGCACATACCACACTGTACAGCAAGGACCTTGCTTTAATTGAATTGCAGAAAAGGTGTTACATGTGAAGATATTTTTGAAAGTGGGCTTCTCTGGCCATGTTTTTCTTCTATAGAGACTTGCGCAAGAAAATTTTTCATCCATATCACCATGTGGTACAGGTGGGAAGAACGTAATTTTTCTTTATTCACATGGAATCCCAGGTCATTGGCAGTATTATTCAGCCTTCTGAATGTTTCTCTACTCCAAATGGCAAAACATTACAGTCTTTTGATATATTTTTTGTTTGACTATTGATACCACTACCAAAAATGTTAGCATAAGGATTATGTCAGACTGAATTTCTGCATATTCTGTGTTTTGGGTCATATTGCTCAAAAACCTATTCAGCCTGGGATTTGCAGTCCAGGTCAGAAAATAAGCATTCTGAGTTTCTTATGTGTTCCTGTTCTGGCCATGGTTTCACATTTGGGAGAATTCAGTGGCTCTTGGTGCATGCTAGAGAGCAGCTTGGAGCCATTTGCAAACTCTTCTTAAGGCTGTATCTCCAGAACAGAACTGACATCTGTTTTATTTCCAAATTCCAACTGTAATCCTTCTATGGGTTCAGAAAATGACAGAAGAATCATGAAAATAGAAGTCATTCAAGGTCATTGTTCAGCCTGGAGCAGAGAAGGTTCCAGGGAGACCTTATAGCACCTTCCTCTGTCTAAAGGGGACTACAGGAAGGCTGGAGAGGGACTTATAAAGTGATGTAATGATAGGAGAATGGGTCATTTTCTTCTTTAAACTGGGAGTTGGTTTATTAGGAAGAAATTCTTTACTGTGAAGGTGGTGGGACACTGGAACAGGTTGCCCAGAGAAGTTGTGGATGCCTTATCCCTGGAAGAGTTCAAGGACAGGCTGGATAGGGCTCCAAGCAACCTGGTCTACTGGTAGGTGTCCCTGCTCATGGCAGGGGGACTGGATCTCTAGGGTCCTTCCAACCCAAACCATTTTATGATTTTATGATTAGCCTAAAAAACTACCACTTCTGGATTTTGAAATTTCATGAACTTCAATTTTCTGGAAGAATATTCTGGAGAATTATCAGTACATGATTGAGCCTTTCAGGGTGTAGAACTATGGTACTGTCTTGCGTTAAAATAAGGTGAAGTGGAGGGAGAGTCCCAGATGCCTAGACCCTTGGCAATCCAGGGTGTCTCAGAGGGCTTCACACATTGACAGACTCACATGCTCCCACTGATCACCTCTAGTGATAAGGGGTGATAAAAGATTGTAGCCTTAGCTGCTTACTAGAGCTAATTTTTGGATAGAATACTGTTAAATTAGAATAGGGCCTTGCTAGCTTATGCTACCTTACATACAGGACATGGTTAACTTTATAATGAGGATTCTAGCAGAAGCAAAAACCTTGGAGTTGTGATAAGGAGCTTTGAAAGAGACCTTGAAGATTGATAAAGGGGGGCTCCAAGAGAAAGAGATAAGATGAAACCAGTTTTGAGGTGAGTGGCCAGTGCCAGCTCATCATTCTTTGCGAAGGTGAAGAGTTCAGAGCCGAGGAAGGCTCTTACTTCATCCAAAAGACCCCCAAATGAAGACCCCCAAGGGGCATTCCGAGGCAGAGTTGTAGGAGTGGTGTATGTTAATGATTTCCCCTCCCAATTTTCAGGAATTTGCTGACACAGCTAATGCATATGTAACACTACTAATGTATATGTAACACAACTAATGCATATGTAACACTGTATCACATAAAAGAAGCTGAACAAAGGCAATGGGTGTGCATGTTTGGCAAAATTATTCCCCATGCACCCGGTGCTATAAATAAACACACCTGCTTCAATACTCTTTGTGAGTTTTGGGGTTTGTTTCCGCAAGTCACTAGTATTGATCCTGTGCTATGTAAAGGATGTATCTCAGGGACACACATAACAGAAATTTCTCAGCGACTTGTTCTGGGTCTGCCTTATTTATATCAGAGGCATGGAAACAGAGCACCAGAATTTGGCTTGCTATTTTTAAAATGCCCACAAATAAAAGCTAAATACTGTCATTTTTATTATAAATTAGTGGACCTGAATCACAAAAACTCAGTCAGACTTTAAAACATCTATGTTCCTATCAATTTCAAGTCATGCTACTAAGTCACACTATTCAATGAAGTGTTCTGAGTTAATTAAAAGTGATGGGAAAGATTTTTTTTCTCCAATAATGTCATTCTCTCTTTCAGCCAACTAAACTCTAAATGCTTAACCGTGTATTTGACCTCCTACAATCTATCACTCAACTTGAAGAAATGCCACTTTTCCCAACAATCACTCAAGATTCTTGGACATATGGTGTCTCTTTCTGTAATTTCATTCGATCTTGATAAAAGCCAAACCGTTAAAGTTGTTTTTTTTTTTTCCCAGGAAAAAATAGCCTCAAGGGAACGTTTGTTTGAATGATACAACAGTATCATCAAGTTACCAAAGACTTAAATACTAGAGACAAAACTGTGTCAGGTGGAGCTGACGATTTTAAGCATACTCTTTTGATTTAAAACAAGCTTGAATTTTTTTCCTTTTCCTGGTATATATTACAAGACATTGGCTCTAATTGTTTCTGCAGATGTGTTTGTTTTAGGACTAGATTTTTTTCCTTATAAATGGGTCTAGAACATAGTGTTGTCTTTGCCTTGAAAACAAAGTCTGCAGCTGACAAGATATCTTTTCCTGGTGATGTGACCTGAACCACACAGACATATTAGATTTCATTTTCAGCTACAAATATTGTTCACAATCTATGAAATTCCATGTGTAGATGATTTCAAAATTAGTATATCTGGTCTAGCTGAGATGGAGTTAATTTTCCTCATAGCAGCCCTCACAATGCTGTGCTTGGTATTGGTAGCTAGAAAGGTGTTGATAACACACCAGTGTTTTGGCTACTGCTGGGCAGCACTGACACAACATCAGCACTGTCTCTCCAACATTACTCCCCAACCTCCCTTCCCTGCACAGTAGGCTGGGGATGAGCAAAATCTGAAATAGCTGACCCCAACTGACTGAAGGGATTTTCTGTACCACATGATGTCTGCTCAAATATAAAAATTAAGAAAAGAGAAGTGGGGAGCATTTGTTATTTACAATGTTTGTCTTCTCAGTCAACCACTACATGTGCTGAAGCCCTGCTTCCTGGGAAGTGCCCAGACATCACTTGCTGATAGGAAGTAGAGAATAAAATTTATTTTTTTTTCCTCCTTTTCTTGCATGTGCAACCTTTCTCTTTTGCTGTAGTAAACTGCCTTATCTCAACCTATGCATTGTTTTCCACCTTATTTTCTCTCCCCTTTCCAGCTGAGAAAGGGAAGTAATAGAGCAGCTTGGTGGGCACCTGGTGCCCAGCCAGGGTCAATCCACCACAATGAGTAAGACCAGGCATATACTGCATATAGAGCATATACTGCTGACATGTCTTGGTGATACTATAAAGCCCTATGAGATGACTTCTTTTGACTTAGCATGATAGTTGTCATTTATGCGTTTAATTTTTTTGGTGCAGCACTCATTTGAATCATTAGGTACCACTAGTGTGACAGAAGAATTCATGACTTTTGAAGGATTTGTTAGTCAGTTTAAATTACACCCCTATGTGTGATTTTTCTGGATGATTAATGTCACAATGTTTCATCTTGTAGTATTAAAAAGGAAAAAAAAAGAAAAAGTACCCCTAGACAATGTTCTAACTGTCCTTAACTAATCTTTAAATCCTTCAATGAGGTTGACCTAAATTACAAAGTCACTTGCTTACTATGTTGTTGCGATATCCCATGGCTATAACAATACAACTGTCAATCTCAAAAGTGAAGTTTATGTATAGAAAACCAGGAACTGGGCCATGATTTTAGAACCTGCTTCCATGATGGATCAGAATGACCTCAAACTTCATCAATACTGTTAAATGTTAAACCTATTTTTTATCTTAACTTTATAGTAATAATGTAATAAAAAGAATCATGTAAATTACTTCTCTGAGTATAAAGGGTGTAGGAAAAACTTCAGACAGTTTTTTCTATGTGTTTAATATGTAAGGTATGATATTATGATATGAATTGAATTTGGCTAAAGTTTTTATTTTGGACAGCAGACAATGGATTATGTAATTAAATGCAGCAAAAGTATTGATGGAAAAGCAGGGTAGAGTCTGTGAAGGAATGCTGTAGTGTCCATCAATTCTTTAAGAGAGCTAAGGAGGAGACTTGGAAAATCCACCCACTGCTTTAATCATTCCACCTGGCATCTGTCATGGGTCTTGTTTTAAAAGAAATGTGTATTCATGAAGACAGAGTTCCTTGTAAAAACAGACTACCTCCGTGTTGTTCTGAATCATCTCTGTTTCAGGCTTAGCATCTATAACAAAACAAAAAAACTCCAAAAAAATAGTTGTAGGAATTTTAAAAAATACTATAAAGATACATTTACTGTTTTTCTGACAAGATAGAGATGTACACAGCCTTTGCAGTGTGCTAGCATCTAACATTATGAATTAGGGTGACCAGTGGCTGCATTGCCCTTCAGGTTTTTTTTCAACACCCACCAAGAATAATCTTCTCCATAACTTAGGCACTGAAGTGAGACTGACAGGCCCATAGTATCCAGGGGAATCCTTCTTGCCCTTTTTTAAAACTGTGACAATGTTCACCAGTTTCCAGTCAACTGGGACCTCTCTGGATTGCCAAGATAGTTTAAAAATCAGTGGAGGATGCATCCTGATGATATCAGCCAGCTTTTTAAGCACTGAATCCCACGAGGCCCCATAGATTTGTAGGGATCTAGTTGGAGCAGCAGATCCTCACAACTTCAGGGTTAACTGGGAGTTTATCATTCTCACAGCCATGGTCTTCCAGCTCAGGGCATGGGACCCCCTTCATCTGTCATCAGTGTTGAAGACAGAGGCAAAGAAAGCATTAAATATCTCTGCCTTGTCTCTGTCCCTGTTTGTGAGGTGACCATCCTTATCCTGTAATTTTGGCACTACCTTTTACCATTAATGCATTTTAAACCCCCTCTTTTTATTATCTCCCACAGTTCTTGCCAACTTCAAATGAGCTTTGGCCACATGAATTTTCTTCCTACAGTGGTGAGTAGCATCTCTGTACTCCTCTCACATCACCTGACCATGCTTCCACTGGGCATACATCTATTTTTGCCTTATCTCCAAGATTCCTGCTCAGTCAGCCTGGCCTCCTGCCTCATCTGCTTCACTTCCAGCATTTAGGGATTGCCTGTTCATGGGCCCTTAGAAAGCAATACTTAAAAAGTGACCACCACTAATGGACCCCAGCACCTTGAAAAGCATTTTCCAAGCGGACTTTACTTACTAGTTCCCTGTGCAGCCTGAAGTCTACTCTCCTCATGTCCAGGGTTGAAATTTTGCTGGCACTTTTCCTCCCATCAACAGATTTTAAACTTGATTGCTTTGTGGTCGCTGTGGCCAAGAAGGCCACCAATCTCCATTTCACTCATGAGACCCTCTCTGTTAACAAGCAACAAATCAAGGAGGGCTTCTTTCCTCGTTGGCTCTTGTAGTACATGTACCATGAAGTTGTCATCGAGGTGTTTTAGGAATTTTCTGGATCTGTTTGTGCCAGCTGTGTGATGCACCCAGTTAATTTCTAGCTAGTTGTAGTCACCCATGAGGACAAGGGCAGATGATTAAGAGGTATCTCTTAGTTCCTTAGAGTAAGTCATCGGTGTCATCGTCCTAGCTAGGCAGTCCATAGTAGACTCCCATGATGACATCTGCCCAGAGGCTCTCAACTGTGACATTGCCAACTCTAAGCTCCAGCCCTTCCGTTACATACAAAGCCACCCCCCAGCCTCACCTGCCCTGCCTATTCCTCCTGAAGAGCCTCTAACCATCCAACATGGCACTCCAGTCACAGGCACTCCAGTCACTGCATGCATTGGTATAGAAACATTTCAGATGTGGTTCATTGTAGCCAACACCTCATGGAGCAGATTGAGGGATCCCACTAGCATTCACTTCCTCGAGTTTTGGTGCACCATCCCACTGCCTTTCACTGGAAAGCCTGGTTTTGTCCCTTTATCCTTACAAACTAGTTTAAAACTCTGTTAAATTTTATGGGAAAGTCTGGTTTGTTTTGCAAAGGTAACATCTCCAAATAGATGTCCATGTTTCCAGGAGATTCTATTTGTCATATCACACCTGCATGTTCACTGAAAGGGCTTTGTAGTACTGTCCTGAAACCTTTCCAAAAACTTGTCAGTATGAAAGAGTTACTTAGCATCACAAAATGTCCTAAGTTCATTAAAAACAGTAAGAAGGCTGCTGTCTGTCTTCCTGGAGTCAAGGGACAGGTCCTACAAAACCAAATTCTTTCCCTGAAATAAGGTCAGGAATTTTATGAAAATGTATCATTTTTTATTGGCACAAAAAGCTTCTTTCAGGGTGAGAGGTTACAGGAAATGTCTTAGAGATACAAAGAAAATGGATGGAAAGTCTCAGGTGGAAGGCTGAGTGAGACCAATTGGCAGCTGGGTGTGAGCCAGCAGTGGCTGCTGTGATGCCAGGACAGAAGCATAAGGACTTTACCAAAGAGGGATGTGCAGCTTCTCAGAGAAGACCTTCCCTAGCTTGGCATCTGTGGCCTGTAGTCCCTGTTCAGAAGGGAAAAATGAATAGTTTTATGATGGGCTGGAGTTTTTGTGCGACTTACTTACTTAGATTTGTTGGGGAAATTCCTCGTCAAGAGTTAGGGAGCCAGCTGATGCTCTGTTAGTCAGATGGAGAACATCTCCTGAAAAGGACTGTCAATGGTACTTGGCTGCATCTCAAAATATCTGGGAAAAGCAGATTCAGCCAGTCGAAAAAGAAAGGACTGAGAACCGTGGAGGATTTAAGGGAGCAGTGTCTCTATTCTCATGTAATGCTGAATTGCCAGAATAAAACTTGATTTTCATCATATTTTACAATGCACTGATTGTACGGAATCTATCAATGCAACAATAAGTTATGCCTTCACCATGATTATAGTACATCTTGTATAAGTGACTAAATGAGAGGCTAAACTTGCTGTGGCATAGGGATTTATATTACAATAGATATTTTTGCATAAATCTATGGTGATGCTTCAGCTTTCCCTGACATCCACATCTTCAGAATATCCTGTCAAAGGACTCTGAATTAATACTGCCACTAGAGGAGGCTGGCAAAAATAGACAAGCCTTTAGTCCTCAGAGGAGGTAAAAGAAAAACGGAGAACCTGGTTAGTGCATTTAAAATTTAGAATTTTTTATGTATAAAAGAAAAAAGGAGAAAGGAGAAAGATTAGAAGTCAGTGTACTCATAGACATGCTTCCTCTCAGGAATGCATTTTCTTTGCTTTTTACTGTCTGTTTTCATAACAGCAAGGCACCTTAACACTCAAAAATTGTGATTTTAAAGACAATCCTTCTCCAAATATTTTCCAGTAGAAAAGATACTTTTCTGAACTTCTCCATATAGATGGAAGGACAGTCTGAGACATGAAAATTTGTAAATACTTATCACACTTCCTGAACTATATCTAAGCTCCCCACTATTGAGTTATTAGTGCAGTAGGGAACATTTAAATGCAATTAAGGAAATGAGAAATCTGTCAGGATTATTAGTGCAGCATCTTGTAATACAGGCATGCTTGCAGCTAATGAGGACAGCTGCCAAGTCAAAAATATCAATTATGTCTGAATGACAATGGATTTGATTACACTCCTTTCTCACTTTTTCATTATAAAAAAAAGAATATGACAATTCTGGGTGAACACTCTAATGTTTGAGCCCTAGTAGAAGCAAAGAGGAGGAGAAAGAGGGAAAGGGAAGAGGAAGGGAGGGGTGGGGAGATTTGTTCTTATAGTACTGTGGTTAGAGCAATCATGTGGGAAGTTGAATCACTATATTTGGTTCTTATTCCCCATGAGATTTTAACATTCACATCCCACGACTGGCAGTTACATCCAGCAAAAAATTGCTTTATGTATTGAATATTTAAGATACAAGTAGGAATGGGGGGGGGACACACCACTTTCTAACATGGAAGCTTGGCCTGAAATAAGTCCTGTAGTGTCCTGTCTTTGGGGATCATGTATCAACCAGCACCTATGGTGTTGCTTGCAACAGACACCTCTCCATCTGGAGCTTTGGCAGTTCTAAAATATTTAAATATTAATTGATCTAGAAAGTAAGAAACAGAAGCTCCCAAAGTAGTGGTAAGGGACTCACCTGAAAGAAAGGATGCAGATTTACCAGAAAGGGTGCCATGGTCTAGTAACCATGGTGTTAGTGGATCAAGGGTTGGACTTGATGATCTCGGAGGTCCTTTCCAGCTCTGCTGATTCTATGATTCTAAAAAGGTGGGGAAATAAGCAACACAGTGTCTGCCTTTCTCAGGAAAGAGGAAACATGAGCTCCTGGTGTGCTGGAAGAGGTTGGTCACATATGTAAGCAACAGAAGGTAGACCTTCTTTTCAGCTTTTGGAGATGAATATACACATTTCTCAGACCTCTTTCTTTGACTTTGTACTGAAATAAAAAGTGGGTACAGGAAATCCAAGTTACATCCATATAGGGAGCAGCAGTCACTTGAGCATAGTTGATCAACTACTTCAAAGCTTTACACCATGTCTGTTCTGCTGACAGTTGGCTACTGACAATAGTAATAGCTGGCAGGATCTGACTGTTCAGAATTACTGGCACCTCACCAAGAAATGGAAAGACTGCTTAGAGTGGATTTGGATATATTGTAGATGAAGCGGAATATATCATGTTTTAAAGTCAAGGGCAACTGTTCTTTCTGCGAAGGGGCTAGATGAGGTAAGAAGGATTTATACAATCTCTTGAAATTATAAACATTCACTGCTAGTAAGAAAAAAACCAAGAAGCAGTGTAACTTGAGATTAGCCAGGCAGCAATTATCCCAGCAATAATATGGTATATGTTTCTTCTTTACTGCTCTTGTGTAGATTACAAACGGTTTTTAAAGCAGAGCCGGATAAGCCTGGGAATATTGTACTTAGTTTAGGAGCCAGCAGAAAAATCTACAGAGACTTCAAATCTCACTGAGGCCCTTGCTCAGCCTTATAGACAGGAAACAATAGCAACAAAACATTAAAAGCTTAAGAAGAAAGAAATAAAACCTTAAAAAAAAGTCATGCTGGACTTTCTCTGTAGAGCTTTCTTATTAAGTGTACTGGATCCTTCATTTCTGTGTCCACACTCTAATGACCTAACAACCTGCTTCTTCTGCATTGTCTTTTACTGTATTTATATAATTGCTCAAATAAACAAACCCCAGAAAGCTGAGAGTTCGTCTCCTTCAACAGCATATTCACCAAAAAAATTCAATGGGAAAAAAAAAGATGTAATTCCTTTGTCTGGGTGTGTGTGATCTTCATCTAAAATCTTTTATTTCTCCCTGGTGTTAATGTTAGAGCAAAGGGCTATCCAGAATAGTCTACTACTGTCTTTCCTTTCTCTTTTCCTTTGCTTTATCACCAAAGTGCTTTAATATTCACTGCAATCTAGGTACCATGTCATTTTATTTTTGTCCTGTCTGTCTTTACTGGTGAAGAAGTGTTTCTGAACTCACTTAGTTTCCCCTGTTGACAAATCCACAATTTATCTTCCTTCCAGGTTGGAAAAAAAAAATAATTTCATTGATAAATCTTGGAAAATCTGAAACAATGCATTTTTACAAGTTTGGTTTTGAGAATTCTAATCCCAGTAAAAATTTTAATCTAAAAGTCATCATATTGCATTGCAATACACACCATTTTTTTCTTCTGAAGAAAATTATGAATCTAAGCAATATTTCATTTTCTTTTCTGCCTGTAAGCTCTGGAGTTTAAAGGCTGTGAAATTTTGAATGGGTTTGCATTTGGCTGCAAATATTTTGACAATTTTCTGGTATCATACTTGGTAGAAATCACAACACCTAAATCTGTAATCAATGAAAAGTGCTGAAAACACAACAAAATGAGCAAAAGTCAACAGATGCTGAATACAGATAGAAAGGAGTTGGCACAATGCCTAACACCTTGTACCTAAAATTGAGTAGCTATTTTGTCTTTATTTCCTTGTTTTCCTTTTAACAAGATTGTTCTTCCAGCTTTGTAAATCACATATAACCAAAGGTTATATGCCATCCAGGTCCCTCACAGCTGAGTGCTCAGCTGCTTCCCTGGGGCTTGGGCAGGGGAGCCATGCCCACCTCAGGGCTGTGCCAGCAGCCTCCCAAGCTGCCATGGGATATCCCACAAGGGCCAGGGTGCTGCCATTGTTCTTCTGTTGGTTTGTCGGTCTCTGCATTTCACTGCTTAGCAAACTAGCATAGCCTGCCACAATTTTCAGTTTTGCATTGATACACCAGCCTACAAGGAGTGGTAAATGAGGATTCCAAGACTTGGATATGAGCTGTTGTAATGAACAAGATTATCAGCCATGGAGCCAAAGCAGAGAGACATGTCTATTCTCCTACTTAACATATGTGATTAATACTTTTCAGCCCTTTAGAGAGCTTATTCCTTGCTACTCTGCAAGGACTCAAAATTGGTTGACTTTTCAGTATTTTTTAGGTCTATGAGGAGGTACCTGTCTGGAAAGCTTAATAGCAATAAGGGGCTGAGTGAGGGCTCTGAGTTTCTTCCCAGGAGCCAGAATAATAATCTGTTCTCCCTTGTGAAGCC